TTCTAGTGTTTGCCAACTAAAAGCATGGACCTTTAAAGGTATCAAACGAATCCAAAGCTTGTTGTAAGACCATTCATCAACACTTCTAAAGTTGTTTTTTAGTAATGGTTAAAATCTCATTGGACCCCTTCACTTTAACAAAAAGTTTCTTTTTAATCTCTCTGCTTAAGAAAACCGTTTTTAGTTTCTAAAATTTATTATCCTATCTTTTTTTAGTCTTTCTGTCACGCCCCATAACCCAAATCCGAGGCGCGACAGACGCCGTACACTCATGAGACGGGTCCCACAAGTGCACAAGGCTTGGAACTTATCATATCACAATCTGATACCACAAAAATCTGAAGATCAAATTATAAAATTCTCTCTGATATCATAAAATCTCCAATACACTCTAGTTTACAAGATCATGATTTATTTCTAAAAAACTATATCAATCTTGAAATGGCTAGTTTTTTAATTCGTCACTTCCCGTGGTTTCCCCGTCCTCGGTTTCACTTCCTGAAATGGTGGACAAGGAAAACTATGAGATAAACTCAGTAAGTAAATATGAATTGCCCTTAATTAAACTTATAGCATGCCAACATGTGCAATCACGAAAAACGGATACAGTACGGGAACGAAATAGATGTCTCCTCTATAGGTCATGGCCAGCGTCTAACACCCACTGGCAGGCGCACTATTTGCTGGTGTATAATCCCCACAAGCAGGGTCACTATTTGCTGGTGTATAATCCCCACAAGCAGGGTCACGAAATACATATCGACATGTGCCGACATGTGCTAGCGTTTATAACCTCCCCCACTAGCAAGGTCACTAATAACATGACCACATCGGAGACAAAACAGGCAAAAATTAACAGGAAAATCACAATTCACACTCACTTTCAGATCATCAGGACAGTCACTTAAATTTCAAGTAGGCATGCTCAATTTAATGAAAAGCATAAACATTTCACTTCAAATCAGTCATACTTGTGTAAAACGAGTTTAGTCCCGCCACCACTTCAAAAACAAATCAAAACATGCTTTTAAAACAGTACGGGCATTACCATAAATTTACTTACCTCACTTGTATAAAACCGAGCACTCAATTTTAGTGCTAACTGACAGAACGATCAAGAACCTAATCAAAATATCCGAGAATCAATACCATACTATCACAAATTCACATTGAACACTTCATTAGGATCATTCCTAGTCACAATGCTATTTCCATAAATCTCCACATGATCAAATATCTCCAAATTCGTTTTTATATCACAAGCTAATCATTTAAATCCCCGTTAATTGTTGGCCCTTGGGGTGCAAACAGTAACCGGTGAACAGTGCCGGTGAACAGTAACCCCAACGTGAACAGTAACTCTACTTCCAAAATTGGCCAAAACACTAGATAATCTCACGGGGTTTTCTCTCCAAAAATCACAACAAGCAATTAACACTCAATCACATAAATCCCACTTCAATTAAGCTAAATCATGGTCCTAAAGCTATCAAATTCTTCCCCATTTTTCTAGCAATTCACGGACACACAAGGCAGCAAACTAAATGGACAATTTAAGCGTTAAAAGGCTGTCACATACCAGAATTTTCCAGCAAGAACCGGACCTAGCAGGGGGAAGAAGCCGGCGGCAGTGCAGAGGAGAATCACGCAATCTACCCAAAAATTGGAGAACCAAGAGGAAATTAAGGTAAACCCAAGTTAATTTAAGGCTAACAGGATGAATTAATGGCTGTTCTTACCGAAAACATGCCCAGAAATCACCCACCCACAAGCTGCAGCTCACGGACAGGGGAGGGGAGAACCGACCAGATCTGGGTTTTTCCAGCAGGGGGAAAGAATTTCTGGGTTATACATGTGTTGTAGAGCAAGGAAAGAAAGAGAAATCCAAGCTTATCTCACCAATTTCTCAAGCATGGCTGGGTTCCCCCTTTTTTTTTTCCTCGGGTGGCTGCAGCGGGAAGAAAGAAGAAGAAGAGCAGAATCGGGAAATGGCTGGGAAGAAAAGAAAGAAAAAGACAAAGAAAAAGAAGTCATCCTTATCCAAAATTTTTCTCTTTTTAAGTCCCTCAACTTTTGAAATATTCACATTAAGCTTTAAAACAATTTTTTTTCATAATTAAGTCCTTAACTTACACTTAAATATTCTCAAAATTTTGAGATATTACACTTTCGATTATATTTAACATGTTAAATAATAAAAATTTCAAAATAAAAAAATTAAAAAATAATTAAAAAATTTTTGTTGGTCCCTTTACTTAAAAAATTTCATTTTAGCCACTCTTCCATCATCTAACTTGCTATAT